CATATTTCTCAGTCTAGCTTCACTAGATTGATATGCTATGTTTTGAAAATATTTTTTTATCTGTTTAATAATTAAATGTGTATGCTTTAGTAAAAACTAATATTTAGTTTAATCCTTGATGCTAATTTAAATGTTATTTTAGATTTAAAAGAGCAAAGTGGAACCAATCCGTGAACTTCTGCATGTTTAGAAACCGGGTTCCAACTTTTAATCGGAATTGAAATAAGGTACACTTAATGTTAAGGTTCAAGCAGACGGAGGAAAATATCAAAATAACATACCGTAGATGCATTGATCAATACTTTCTATGTTAGAAAATATAATGATAAACTAGCTTCACAAGGGGCTCTGTTTGACCTTGTTTTCATGTCAAAGGGATGAAAGAGAGCACATCTAGTGAGTAAGCGATCTCTAGACGAGAAACAGGACTAAACACCGATAAACAGGCCAAACTCTGTCCTCTATAATCTAAGGTGTTGACGGCAGTAGATTTAATTTGAGAATGAAAAAAACAGTATCTTTGTTTCTTTATTTTAATTTTATTTATTGTACAGATATTGATGGAAAGATGTCATGTTTTTGAACATCCTTTGAAGGGATGAAAGGAGATTGATTATATCACTTTTCTTCCTCCCACTGCTTTTTGTACAAGATAACCTCTGTTATATGTTAATTTGTATGTACTCTATATTTGTTTGTACTTAATATTTTCTGCTCGATATAGATGATAGTGATGATGATGATATAGTTACATATGCTGCCATAGGCCGCCTTAGGGCATAGGGAACAATTTTCCTCCCTTTGCTTCTAATTTTATTGTCCAATTCTGCTGTATTAACCCATAACTTTATGTTCTCCTTGCTTTTTTTTGTCATGGTAGCTTCATCCACTCAGTGACACCATCCTGGACGGTAATATCATTTGAATTCGAATTCAGAGGTTGCTTCCTCCAAAGACCAGATTTGTAGGCTGATTAAGTCGTAGCGGGGCACCGAGGTGACTCTGCGTTATGCAGTCGCTAAATGCATCCTTCTTTTTGCCCGATTTGAAGGACGGATCTTCCATTATAGATCCTAGAACTGGCCAGTTTTTCAGTGCTTGGTCATGTTTCTCTCTTAGACATACCAATGGGCTTAGCTTTCATTGTGACTAACTCTATACACTCCCTCTCCTTTCATTTGATCCCATTGGATCTAGTCTGCCATTACTTTTTCAAATATAGAAAGTATTTAGAGATGAGTGCATCTTTGCTTCGCTTTTGTCTGCTTTTGTCTCCTTGAACCCTAGATGGCCTTGGAAGAAGGCAGCTCACACAGACTCTGGCTCTGCTGGAGGTTTCTTCCTCTCAGTTCATGCATGCTCAGTGTGAGGGATTGCTGTACCGTCAATGACACACTGCAAGCAAATATCTGCTGTCACTACAAGAGGAAAGAATCCTGCAAAGCAAATAACTAATTTTGTTTTGTACAGCAAATAGTAAAGAATATATTTTTTTATATTTTGATGTGATGTGAAATTTATGCTTATGATGAGTTTATGTCTTTCTAACCAGAATTTATTTATTCATTTTGCCACTGATTGGAATTTTTCGGAAAAGTGATGAATTTCTTATCAAATGTATGATTGTCTTATGATATTGATCTGGTATTTCCCAATAGAAAGGCATAAAAAAAAGAACAAATTTGTTGGGAATTCATCTATTATTGATCCAATGAAACCCTTTTTTCTTTTTGGAATGTTCCCCGGGCTCATTGCTTGTACAAGAAAAGGAAATGTAAATCCCCTCTCTGAGACCTTCATTCTGTCTTTCGTGTGACTTTGTCTTCTCCCTGTGATCTCAAAGTGGACTAAGAGCTTCACTGAGAGAAGAGGCCAAAAGGGGAGAGTAGAGGGTTTTACTGCTGAGCTTGTTACAACTGAGAGATACCAGGAAGTCAGCTAGCCCTCTGCTGTCCCAGTTCATTAGCCTGGATTACAGCCTGAGACGGCAGATGAGCACTGTTCTTCTTTATATGAACCCTGCAACAAAGAGAGCAAGAAACACCTGTTTCAAATGTCTCTGGACATCTGGAAGTTGTGATCCAGCTTCTCCTAATAATAAAATGCAGCACTAACATTTGATAATTTTTTTTTTTTTTTTTTTTTTAATGTTTTATTTCCTTCTAGGAGAAGAAAAATTATGATTTTTTTTTTACTTTAAAAATCGTCAGTGTTGGAGATGGATACATGATACAAAATGTTTACAAACCAAAGTTCTCACAGACAGGTTACCGCTCCAGCCCTCATTGCTTTCAAGCATTTTAGAATCACCCATAAACAAAAATGTTTCTAAACCAACAGGGGGGGGGGGGGGGCACAGAGAGAGCAGGTTAAACAACCAAGGACCAAAGAAAAAAAACATACAAAAATAAAACAACACTCAAAGAAAGAACTAACTACACATCCATGATTTTTCTTTTCTTTTCAGTTTTAAAAATAAGTCTCTAGTTTATCTAGTTTCACATCACATCCAGAAACATCTCTTTTATTTGTCCAAATTGAAACAACTAAATCCACATGAAATGGATCAAATCACAGAATGTTCAGGTTTAACCCTAAGACAAATTTACCTTAGATCAAACTTTGCAAATATATCTGTAAGCACTTTCTTAAAGTCATTAAGATGGAGTTTAGTGTGACTTACAGGAGGTTTTATAATTAGACTGCTCCACATGAGCCAAAGCAAAGAGATAAACATTTTACAAGTGTTTTAACGTCTTAGGCAGACAAAGAGCCAGCTGGAACATTTCCAAGAAAACGATTGGGATCAAATTATAATGATAAACAAATAGGTGTCACAGTATTTATGCTCATGGTTCTATAAATCAGGATTTCTTTGCTTTTTTATATATGTTTGTCAACTTACAGTTTTATTAGGTTTTATAATACAGTGTTTTAGAAATGAGACCCCTGCCAAGGACTCTTCTTCTCCCTAAACTCGTTAGCATGATCCTCAGCTGTGACCATTTGTCTCCTGATTGCCTCAGCTGTTTCCTCAGTCTTCGTCTCTCCGTCTCCTTATGACTTAAACAGCCTGTTGCGCTTCGCTTGTCTTGATAAATTCTGTGTGCTCCATGTTTCCGCTGCTGCATTCCTAGTTCTTGTGTCTCAAGTTTTGTTTTAATTAAAAGCATATTAATTCGTCCCAGAACCCTTTTTGTATTTCACTCCTACAAACAGCTTTGGGAATAATGGCTTCTTCCGCTTCCAGTGGACTTTCAGCTCATGTTGATACAAAATTCATGTTACTGTGTATAATGACTCTATCATCACTAGGTCTTCTAGTTTGTTCTGGGGATGATGATACTTTCTGAACTCAGAATTCTGTCACAGGTCTGGATCAATCAAAAAAAATGTTAGAACTGTAATTATACGATCATATGTTTATATTACTATTTTTTTTCATGTATTTATTACTGTTTTCAAGGCTGCACATTAAAAAATAAAAATTTCTAGAGCTGTTTTAAACAAAATTTATTTTTGTATACAAAGTGACAAAATAAATCTTGAAAGTCTCTAAGTCTAAGAGATTTAGACTTTAGTAAACTTTTTTCAGCAATGGTGAGTTCAAATTGGACGCAGTGATTTCCAAGAGCACCACAGTTAGTTCACCGACGGCCGACTATGTATCCAATATTAATAACATGATTTCATATTAGAGTGTCTGAAAGGAATTATGTCTTTTAGAGCCCTAATTATCCAATTAGCCTTTTCTATTGTTTCCAAAAGGACTTAAATGTATTCTAAGATTAAGTTTCAAGAATCTCCTTTTTTTATTATTCTTTTTTTTTTTTTTTTTTTTAGCATGAAACCTTCATTTGAAGCCATCCTATGAAAACAACTTTTAATGAGGATGATGCATTCAAGCATAAAGTTCTTACGAGTGATTCACCAAGCTCACAATCCTGACCTCCATACCTCCACTTAAATGAAGAGGGGATCTAATTACCAGTAGTTGTCCCTCCTCCTCTAATTTCACACACCCAGCTTTCCTGGAAGAAATAGAGCAAATCCTCCTGACGTTGCAAGTCAGCTTAGAAGATGACCAAGGGGCAGACCAAACGCGTTTAGCGCAGACGCCTGACGAAAACCTTCTCCAAATTTGCATGAGAACACCTGAACCCTTCCTCCACATTGCCTGCTCCCCTGCAGCACTTTACATTAGATGGTCTTTCCTAGTCTGCGGTCTGGAAGCGCTGATCCATGCAGACCAATGTAGACCTTTTATAATATATCAAGTCCTTCTGAAGAGTGTTTGAGAGCAAACCTTTCTATATGGTGCATCTTTTTAATAGCACAGAACATTTAATAGTTTTCTTAAAAGTCAAAATGCCACAATTGACTCTTGATGCACTTTTTGTCCCTACCTTAACAAGTCAAATGTGACGCACGTTTAGCCCGACCCATTCTAATTCCCTAACGAGATTGCTCGTCCCCGGATATCTCATAAAACCCAGATTAACCAAGCTCAGCTCATTAGCTCTGCCAAAGCAATTCGCCCCTTGTCAACCTCTGCTGTTCACTAACCATCTCATCGGCCGCCATAGTGACAGAAAACATGGCCTACATCAAAAAAAGTATGCAATGACTTTATAGTTAAAATTATATTATATATTCAAGGTGATTCAATAATCCCGTTTAGCCATGTTTAATGGTTTCTCCATTGTGTTCTAATTCTCCATTTTATATCTACTTGAAACCCATTTTAACTCCCTTATGTTTGGAAAACTGACAGTTCCTTATTCCTTTTTTTGCAAACTTCATACCTCACATTTCAATACTCCTTTGTCCCTTAACTCGCTGTCTTCCTTTGGTTTCTCACCCGATTTTGTTGGTTGACCTCATAACCTCTTTTTTCCTTCCAATCAGTTTACCTGGTGTTCCATGCCATGTTCACTCCCCCTGTTTCTCTCAGTCTCTCTCCTTCCCTCTATGTTTCCATCTTTGTGCTTTATCCCTTCATCCCTTATCTCCTTCATCCCCTCCAATCCTCATCTGTTCTTCTCTGTGGAGGAAGGGCAGGAGAAAGAGAGAGTTTTTTTGCAGGTAAAGCTTGATCAGCAGTCTGCATTGGGAAGAGTATCAGAGGAGCCAGCGAATCGGCTGTGCCACCCAGGACTGTGGAATCTAAAGGAACTCATTGGGGACCACAGAGCCAGTGGTGACTGGGACCAGGAGCTTCCCAGTTGTAGAAGACAAGGTCCTAACTGTGAGTGATAAAGGTGAGTTTCTGCTTAGATGTCTTTAGCTACTGATTTGGCAGCTTTAAAAGTTTGAAATGAAGCCAATGTTTTTCTTTTTATTCACTGTGGGAAAACAAGCAATCTGTGGCTAAATTAAATCTTATTTAGTTTAGTAAAATAAAACGCACATCAGTTAGTTTTAGCAGTTTTTTAGTGGGAAAAAAATTTAAGGCCACCATTCCTGTACCTTAAAGCTAGCAAAAGATCATCTGTTTGCTCAGTTTAAGACAGCATCCCGTGATTTGTTTCATTATTTTGATGCTAATCTTTGGATTGGAAGCAAGCAGATTTCAGTCTCAGATAAAGTAGATATAACCAATTGCACAGAAAAGGTCAGACTTCAACAGATCCCTGCTTCCAGGAATTTTTCTGCATGAGTTTTCATTCTTCAAACACACTTTCTGATTGAATTTTGGGGGGGGGGTTCTGCCAAAAAGTAGCTTTTCATTAGATATTTCTTTCTAATGCTGTCATTTGCAGGATTTTGTAAACTCCTCCTGTCTTTGTTTATGGTTTTGACTCTAAAAGGAAAACTTAATTCATCATCTTCCACATCACCTCGCTCCTCTGATCCCAAGGTAAAGAGTATTAATCGGATGAGACCAGATTTGACTGTAAAACCTCCCTTAAGATCTTCTGCCAAGATTTAAAGCCGTGCAGCAAACGCAGCTCAGAAACAGTTTCAGCAGTGAGCCACTGTCCTTCCTGTCTAACTAATTTCCTCCCTGCATCACATCACATGTCTCAGTCTGCCACATGTGCAGCACTAGACATGTTTTATTATGCTGGGGTCCCAAGGACAATAACTCTGTTTTTTTATATATATATATTTCACTAAGAAACATTGAAAACAGGTTTCCCAGTTGAAATTTTCAGATACTTTTTAAAATTCCCATATCTTAAAGATTTGTTTGGTTTTAGGCATAAATGCTGGCCTTGGTGATGTGTAAGCAGGCACACGGCATTAAATGTGTCAGTGGTCAGTATAATTTTATGGAATATTAGAGTCGTAGCTTCTACATGTAAAACTGTCAGAAATTTTTATTTTATTACACTTAATGTTGGATTTATTAAGCTTTTCTGACATTTAACCTTTCATTGGTTGTTTAATAAGGACAAAAGTGGCTGAATATCACATTTTATTTTCATTTTTACTCATTTCCTGAAGCAACAGAATAGGTGCATGGATATAGGCACCGACCTGAACTACACATGCTAAGGAAGGAAAATATGCAAGATTCACTACTTAAGAAATAATTACCATTAATTCCCTGATGAAATTGTTTCTTCTTTGTCCCTTTCATAAACCCCTTCTTCAGCTCTACTCTACCGGTTTTCAACTAATAAAATAGTGTTCGAAAATTACTTTTTGGAAAAAGATCTGTGAGTAGGACCTGTTTTTTGCTGAGTGGATTTTTTTAGGTGCAAAATAAATATTAAACAAATATTCTGAACTTGGAAAATTAAGTTCTTGGACTGGTTTTTGGATTTTTATATCCCTAGGAGTATTTTATATGTTGGGTCAGCAGGAAATAATTTATTCGTACTAAAGAACCTGTGACAATTAGCTTTATTGGAAAATTTAATTGGAAAATTTAATAATCTATATAATGCACTTTTGATTTGCATGTCATTTTCTCCATACCTTACTTATCCTTTTTGCTCTCTTTTCTGTCACAGAGGGAGTCCTTCATTTTCCATCAATAACATCCTCCAGCGACTGTCATCATGGCAGCTGAGAAAGCTGAAATGGACGCTCTGAAAAAAGAGTGTGACGGCCTTCGTTCTCAAATTGAGGTAAGCATTTCCGACATGGAACAAACTATTTCAAGCAGGTGCTATTCATAACAGGTTGATTAATAGCTTAATATAATAATAACAGGTTGATTCTATCTGTTCTGGATTTCATTACCCTCTTTAACCTTAAATGTATATTTTTATTTCATAACAATATATATTAGTAACTAATTTGAACAAAAATCGCCTTACATGTGAAAATATGAGAGAAGTAAGACAATAAAGAAATATAAGAATATTATGTCCATGTGTGTACATGTAATTCATTATGTGGCCACCAGGCGGCGCGTAAGGCCGTGAACGACACCACCATGTCAGCAGCAGCCAATGGCGTGGCCCCTGTGGGCCGGGTTCAGCTGAAGCTCAGGAAGAACCTCAAGGGCCACCTGGCCAAGATCTATGCCATGCACTGGTCAGCAGATTCAAGGTAACAAAATGGAAAATTACAACCTTTTATGAAATATTTTAGTCAGTTCTTGATCACATGCAACATACCTTTTATGATTGATCAGGGACAGAAATTAGGATTTGGGCAAATTATTCATTTCACCATAATTTGATCTTGTTTAAGGAATTTACTTCAGTATATAGAGAAGAGCATTGTCACTGTTCAGCACTGTTAGATGCTTTAAAACGCTCTGCAAAGTCGATAAAGATAAACTGATTAGCTCTACTACAGTATGACTTTAATCATCTATTTATTAAATTCTACCTCTGTGCAATAAGTTCTTAAAGGATAAAACCTGAAAGGAAAATGATTCACCTTTAAAAAATATTTTGGGTTTAAGAACATTCAGATAGGAAAAAAAACATATTCCCATATAAAATAATCCATCCATCAGATTTCTTAATCTGAGGAGGCTCACAGGAAGGAAAAAAACAAGGTTTAACTTTTAATGGTTAACTGTAACACACTTATGTGTTTAAAAAATGGTATTATACATTCCTGAATGCAAGCTTTTAGCTGTGAGTAAATCTTAAATACCACCTGTATATGAAGTGACTGTTTCCTTCCCCTCTAAGGCAAATGGTCAGTGCATCACAGGATGGCAAGCTTCTCGTCTGGGACACCCACACTGGGAACAAGGTAACATCACATCCAGTATTACATCAAGTGTGAACTATGCTATCACAGGATTCATAATTTATACGAGCCAATAAGAAACAGAAGCTCAGAAATAAATCATGATTGGTCCTTTCTTCAGCATGCATTTATAGATAATAGGCTTTGTGATACTTGCAAAGTTATTTCTTCTGATCCATTACATCTACTAATCTCCAGTTAGAGGGCAGATTAAAGCAGCACTATAAATCCACAAAACTGGCTTTGGACTTATGGTGCAGACAGTGGAGTCCTTAATATTTGGGCAAATTCAAATGATTCAGTCAGAGTTAAATTGGATTTTCCAAATTGTCAGCTTTATTTTCCTTATAATGCCCCTCTTTATTTTTTACATTTAGCATTTTGCACAAATTCTAAGTTTAAAAAAACTTTGCAGTCAGAACAAATTTTTGTGAAGCGCTCTGAATGTTGTTGTGACGTCAAAGATTTTAGAACGATTTTTATTGTTCAATACCAGTAAACAGACAACTTAGCAACCAAAGCGCTCACTTCTGTCAGCGTGCCCCCGGGCAGCTGTGGCTACAGTGCCACCATCATGCCATTATCAGTGTGTGAATGGGTGCGAATAACCTAACAGTCTTGTTTTCGGACGGTGGGAGGAAGTCAGCATATCCAGAGAGAACCAAAGCATGCACAGGGAGAACATGCAAGCTCAGTGCAGAAAGACTCTCAGCTGGCTCTTTCTGCAGGGATTCTGCATGGTCTTTCAGAGATTGAACCAAGGACCTAAAAGCTGTGACACCGTGCAACCCTATGATAAAACCTTAGCTAGAGAACTATGATCTGTCTTATCCTAATGTACTTAGTCATTCTCAGCTTAGAGAGATCAGTAAATATCTAATGAATTAACAACTATTCCTAATTTCTCTCCTCAGCTGGTCGCTGTCCCTCTGAAGTCTGCTTGGGTTATGAGTGTCGCCTTTGCTCCTTCTGGTAACCTGGTGGCCAGCGGTGGTCTGGACAACATCTGCACAGTCTACAACATCAAAGCTGCCAGCCCCAAGACCCTCAGGGAGCTGGATGCACACACAGGTAAGAACAAACGCTTCCTGCCGCCCTAAAATGTTTAATTTGAAATGTTTTAACGGAAACCCTTGTGTGTCATGCAGGTTACTTGTCCTGCTGCCGTTTCCTTAGTGATTCTGAGATCTTGACAGCCTCTGGTGACACCACCTGGTAAGTTCTTGGTGATCAGGGTGGATTATATATATGTATTCAACAAGACAAACACTTTCTAGTGGATCGATTTGAATAATGGGGGGGAGTTTACAGCTATTTCTGCCTCATTGACTGAAGTTGTGGAAGGATGATATGAATTTTTGAATATGGAGACTTTTTATTTCTAATATAGGAAAATTATTACATATCATTTAAAATCTTGCAATGATCAAAATGTTAGATGCATAAAAAAAAGATTTTGTCTATTTAAAAATCAGGCTTTCTGAGTCATTTAATATAAAGCAGGATCACACACTGGACTAAATACAGCTAGTTATAAAGGAAAATACCCAAATTTTTCTGTGGTTCTTCCTGCTGAGAAAAGATTTTTTAACTGACGTTAAAAAATTGACAACTTGACGCTATAATTTTTATAAAGAAAATGTAATTTTACAAATCCCTGTCATACAAAAAAACATCAGATTTCTTTATTTATTTTTTTAAATGAAATATCACATGTTTAGTTTATTGTTGAGCAGTTTTAAAAGAGTCGTCATGTTTTAGCTGACAAAACAAATAGACAGGATATTTCTTGCATCCCAACAATATAATATTTAGACTTTATTGGAGTCCAAAACAAATGTTAATCCTCTAAACTAGCTTTTGAGATTTGCAAAGAATAAAACAATGACTTTTCATGTTATTTTTCAGTTTTTTACTTATTAGAATTAGTTGAATAACCTATGTAACATTTTTAAGGTTTATTAAACTTTGCAAAAGCCCAAAAACACTAAATAAATATGCATTAATAATTAACCTTGCAGCTTTTACAGGCAGAGAAGCTGCTTTTCTTAATAGTTCACATAGAATCTGTCTAGTTTTTTTATTGACTCTATTTGTTATTTATTAATGTAAAATGTATATTTTACAAAAGAGTTTAAGCATCATTTTCATTTTTATTTGCTGTAAATATTATGCAGAGGGCAGAATGTATCTTTTAATGCCACCAATGGTGCTGTGACCTTTTTTAGTGTTCTGTGGGACTTGGAGACGGGCAAGCAGAAAGTGGTCTACACCAACCACATTGGGGACTGCATGTCACTGGCCCTCTCCCCTGACATGAACACCTTCATCTCAGGAGCCTGTGACTCTCTGGCCAAGCTGTGGGACCTGAGGGAAGGAACCTGCAAGCAGACCTTCTCAGGGCACACCAGCGACATCAACGCCATTTCTGTGAGGATTCTGCATGGAGCCTGTGCACAAAATGAATGAAATATGTTTGTCAGGACTGGAGGATAAATATTATAGGAACAGAAACAGGAGAGGAAAGACTGTCAAAAATGTTTCACTCATTATTATCATTATATAGTGGGAATAATTCCCCTGTGAGAATTGGGTTTGGGATTTCCCTGCTGCTTTGCTTTCTTATACCTTTTTTTTTTTTTTTGCTTTATTTGCCACACTTCATGATTTCAGGTAAATTAAAAATATCATACCATAAAAAAGTACATAAATCTGCTTTCCAATAATACTTTTACCTTTTAAGGGAGAGGGGTTTCCAAACCAGCACAGGGGAATTTGATTACACTTCTTGTCAAATTTACCAAATTTTCCTCATTCTTTTAAATCTAATTTTTGGATTAGATTTAAAAGAATGAGGAAATTACTGCAGCAGATATTGTATTGCCTTTTTAAATAGGTGTAAAATATCTAAAAAATAAAAATAAAAAGCAATATACTTCCTGAATTAAAGGAAGTTCAAGAACAGATAGGAAATCAGTTCATATCATAAAGTCCTTTTTGAGTTTTCAGAACTCTAACAAAGCGGCCCCTATGGAGACATCCTGGTTAAAACTAAACTATCAACTGAAATAAGCAGAAGGTCTGTCTGACATTTGTCAAGAAACATCTTGGGATCTCTCAAATTCTAAAAAAAAACATTTTGTGGATTATTTTGGTAGAATGTTATCTTTCTAAAAGGTAAAAGTCTTATTATATGTTGTGTAAAACTAAAGCGGAATTTTAGGGGAAAAAAGTGTGAAATCCCCAAACTGCCTGATGAAAAGTTGTACTTAAATTAGATGCTATGGCTACGGCTAAAATGGGATGGGGAAAAAAAATACTTTATTGTTGTTGAGTCAATATTCTTCATCAGTTGTGTGGAACAACTCATAAGTCATCGTATATGCTTGATAGAATTAATTTGAGATAGGGACTAGTCTGTCTTTCTGTTCATCTGAGAGGGATTTTCTCTCTTTGCTTTAAAAGAAGAAAATTATCCTTATATTGCAAACGTCTTAAAAATGGAAGTTTGAGAAGAAAACTCAAACAAAGAAAATGTAAATCTGGGCAAATCAATCACTGTACTTAGTACATTTTTATTGAATGAAATGTTAATACCATGATGGCAATAGATTATGTAGTGTCTGATTACTTACATCTTTTTTCCACTAATGATTCTTCCACTTGCAGTTCTTTCCCAGTGGAAATGCCATCATCACAGGCTCTGATGATTGCTCCTGCAAGATGTATGACCTGCGTTCCGACCAGGAGGTGATGGACTACACAGACGCCAGCCTTAACGCCGGCGTCACATCTTTGGCCCTGTCCAGCTCTGGCCGCCTTATCTTTGCAGGCTATGACGACTTCAACTGCCACATTTGGGACTCACTGAAGGGAGAGAAAGTCGGTGAGAGCTCTTTATGTTATACAGACCTGCTGTTCTGGTTCCTGAGTTGTTTTAATTTCAATATATGCAAACAGAAACAAAAATGATAGATGAATGCTTTGTTTGGTGAATAATTTTATTTGTTTCTTCCAGGTGTGCTCTCTGGCCATGACAACAGGGTGAGCTGCACTGGCGTCCCAGAAGATGGACTGGGCGTCTGCACAGGATCCTGGGACAGCTTCCTCAAACTGTGGAACTGAGGCGTTTTCAGTGGGAAGAAAACAGCTCAGGAAGAAAAGAGGAGGAGCATTAATGAGGAGGGAATAAGAGAAGGAAGGATGCATGAATAAATAAGGCCTCCTCCTCCTCCGATCTTCCTCTCTTCTTCCTTAATGATGTATACTAAACAAGAGCGGTGGCTAATGAGCTTCATTGTATAAATGGCATCAGGGAAACGGCGTACGATGCATCCTGCTGTGTGTACAGAACAACTTCACTGTTGTCAATTTCAATAACAAAGTACATTTTTTTTAAATAGCTCATTAATCTAAATGTCTAAAGAGCAAGAAAAGGGGCTCTGATTCAGAAATACATAGAGGTTTTCAACAAAAGACAGAGAACGAGAGCATAAGCACTAAAAAAAAAAGTTATAGAATAACAGATTTAACTTTTGTTCCTCAGATCATTAAACTGTAAAAGAGCCTTGAATTCACATAGATAAAAACCGATGTAAAAATTCATTTGTAGGTGATAGTGTAAAAGCTAGAATGAAGTTTATTTACTCTGTTATTTTTATCTATTTATCTTTTTGTCGGGTCAAATACACACAGAGATTATAAATATATTATATTGCTGGGTGGGGTCAACCCATGTGGACGCAAAACAAGGAAGGTTTCCGTTTGAATGTGATCTGACTGACTGAGCTGCCAGGCAGCACATTTTTAAGAGTAATAGGCTTTTGTTAAAAAATTCAATGTAGCTGTTGGATCAAAACATCTGATTTAATTCTTAGAGATGTAGTCAGACATTTTATTAGCAAATCTGGTATTTTTAAGATTAAAATACATAGAAAAATACAAATAACATGACTACAAAATAGCAAACTCATGCAGGAGAACATCTAAAATACAAAGTTATGGAACAAATCCTTACAGCGAGAACTGTATATATGTTAGGGCATGTTAAAGAACTTTCACTGGCAATATCTACTGTTAAATACACTTAAGTTGGAGTTGGAAAACTTCATAAGAATACTATCTAATTAAAAGAAGGAAGTACTGTACAGTAAAAGTACTCTTAAATGTTTTTTTTTTTTTTATGTTGCTCATGTAAATGTAACTAGAAAGTTCATTTTATCCCTGACAGCTCAGATTCATTCTATAGTTCTTGTACAAGTTTGCAACTTTTATGTAAAAAAGGCAAAATGTTTCTGGAAAATCTTTCTAATAAATAGCTGCATTAAATTGACTTTGGAGATTTTTTTTTTTACTCTTTATTTTCCAAATATACTTTAATGTGTTGCTGCAGTGTGTTGCAAAAGTCTGTTTTTTTCTCTTAACCTTACCTGGTTGGTCTGCTAAGAAGAACATTAATCAGAGGAGGAGCCATAAAAATGCAGAAATCAAAAACTCAGGTGGGAGGACCTGTTGACCTGTTGACCTTGACGATTTTTGTTATCCTCTGCAAATCCAACCTGTTCTATTCTCCAGAGAAAGACCTTTTATAAACTTCGGCATTAACAAGCATTTCTACATCTGTTATTAATTCTGCTCCCTGTTCTGATACACATCTCCACTTTACTAAAAAAAAAAGGTTTGTTTACACCAAGTGGCTTAGTCTTGTTTTTATCCTTTATATGGTGACCTTGAGTGTCCAGAAAGGCGCCTTTGAAATAAAATGTATTATTATTAGTTGCACACATATCACTACCTATTAAGCCTTTGTTAAATTTGATTAAAAGTCACAGGAATATTGCAGCCAACAACTGAAGAAAAAAGTTCTGGGTAAATAAAAACAAGATGGAATGTTTTGGTTAACTGGAAAACTTCATGAGGACAACATGGTGGTGGCAGCATTATGCTGCCTATGAGATGGATTTATCAAGAAGAAACAAGTAAGTAAAGAAAAGTAAAAAAAAAAGTGAGACAAAGAAAGGGCTATCTTGACAGAAAACCTTTCAAATCCAAACACCTTTAATGGTGCAGCTTCATCTTCCAGCAGGAGGTCGCACGGCTCTGTTCCATCTTCTCCATTAGTATTTTAGTTTATGAATCATTTTATTATTAAGAATAGTCAGGACTCTATAGCTTTGAGATGAGTTTGGAGTGAGAGTCTGAGCACTGGCAGCACAGTAACTTGTTTAATAAAAAAGAAAAAGAAAAAACAGCATTTTTATCATAATTACGGTGCAACAAAAATTCCCTCTCTGCATTTAACCCATCCCCTTGGGGATGCAGTGGGCTCCCATGTTCAGCACCCAGGGATCGGTGTGGGGTTAAGGGTCTTTGCTCAGGGAGCCAAGGTGGCAGTCTGTGGGAGTGGGTTTCAAACTCACAAGCTCAGGATTCCCAGCTCTATGCCCTAACCACTAGGCCACCACTCCCCACAATAATGTATTTATTGAAATCAGTTTATAAGAAAAAATGGAATATATTTATTACATTTGTGCATATTTTTCTCTCATTGTATGACACTGTGATAAACTTTTCTCTGTGTGTTTTTCTAATGAGTTCATTTATTTGAACTGTGTCGTTACTTAAATGGGCTGCATAAATAATCTGGCCTTGCCCTAGACGGCTTTGTGCAACAGGTAGAGGGGATTAGGATTAAATACCGTTTTCTGTTTGCACAGCAGGAGGCGCTACTCACCCATGAAAAGCTTTTACACTTCATTCTTTTAATCTCGTCTAAAAAAAGACGCGTTTTTTTTTTTGTTTTTTTTTTTTGTATTATTTTTTTATTTGACATAACAATTTCCCACAGCACCTGAAGTGCACACCTGCAGGAGCCCACACCGCGGTCTCCATCTCCTCTCCTACCGGGATATAAGCACCAGCAACCGGCCATGGCGCGGAGGTTCTTTGTCGGAGGAAACTGGAAGATGAACGGAAATAAGGAGAGTCTGGAGGAGCTGATGAGCACCTTAAACACCGCCAGCCTGGACGATCAGACCGGTAACTGCAGGCGCTCAGCAGTCCCTATCATCTGATGTTTGCTTTGATTTATCAACAAACCATGCAGAGATGCAACTGCAGTCATGTGTACGGAAGATGATTAGGGCCACTGAAGAAATTAGAAAAGTTAACTGATTTTTACATTTTATTTTAGTATAATATGAGGGAAAATAATTCTGATTTTTTTTTTTTCAGAATTCTGACTTTAACCTCAGAATTCTGAATTTTAATCTCAGAATTCTAACTTTATTCTCAGACTTCTGCCTTTATTCTTAGAATTCTGAATTTTATTCTCAGAATTCTGAATTTTAATCTCAGAATTCTAACTTTATTCTTAGAATTCTTAATTTTATTCTCAGAATTCTGACTTTAATCTCAGAATTCTGACTGTTTTTCCTCAGAATTCTGACTTTTTCCTCAGAATTCTGAATTTTAATCTCAGAATTCTAACTTTATTCTCAGAATTCTTCCTTTATTTTTAGAATTCTGAATTTTATTCTCAGAATTCTGAATTTTAATCTCAGAATTCTAACTTTATTCTTAGAATTCTGAATTTTATTCTCAGAATTCTGACTTTATTCTCAGAATTCTGACTGTTTTTCCTCAGAATTCTAACTTTATTCTCAGAATTCTGACTGTTTTTCCTCAGAATTCTAACTTTATTCTCAGAATTCTTCCTTTATTTTTAGAATTCTGAATTTTATTCTCAGAATTCTGACTGTTATATATATATATATATATATATATATATATATATATATATATATATATATATATATATATATATATATATATATATATATATATATACATTTACATTTTTATTTTTAATGTGGAAAGTTTTATTATATTACTTTGTGTTGTAGTGTATTTCTTTACATTATGAATTGTGCAATATGCTGTTTGTATACATGTAACGAAGATAATATCCCTTTGTGATCATTGAAGTATTTCTGATTCTGATTCTCTCCCCCTTTAAAAAGAAAACTTTAAACATAAACATCCAAGAATTTTACAGTTAAAGCTTAAAACTTCCACATTAGGAGGCTTTGGATGTGATTCAAAAGTAAGGAGAGAAAAATTGAAAGAATTCAAAATATTAAAGAATAATGTCCAGTTTGATGCAATATCCAAAATAGTTGTAAAGATGTTTAGTAATTATGACCTCTTTAAGGTCACTGAGGTCACGGTACTTTGAAACAGCTTTAAAAGAGAAGGAAAAACACTGAACTAACAGCTAAACTGTCTTCCTTGTTTTAGAGGTGGTGTGTGCTGCTCCCTCCATCTATCTGGACTTTGCTCGGTCCCTCCTGGATCCCAAATTTGGGGTTGCAGCCCAGAACTGCTACAAGGTGGCCAAAGGAGCATTTACAGGAGAGATCAGGTGTGAGCGGCTGACTTTATAATGCAACTAAAGATAAATATTTCTGTTTTATTAGTGTAAAAGTGGTTGTTTTCTGTCAACAAAGTGTAGAAAACACAACTCAAAGCTCTACAGAGAACACTAGAAATGTGGTTACTTTGAAAAAAAAAATAAGCAGAACAGACTTGAACATTTTTTTAAAGTTGGACCAAAGTCAGTCTGTGTTTAGAGAAATACAATCTGTTGTAGTTTGGTTCTTTGAAAGGTGATCTGCTCCTCTCCACGCCTCCAGCCCGGCCATGATAAAGGACTGCGGAGCAGACTGGGTGATCCTCGGACACTCGGAACGACGCCATGTGTTCGGGGAAAGCGATGAGCTGATCGGCCAAAAGGTGAGACTTTGCTCCTTCTGGCATTTCCTTTACAGAATGACTTTTATGTTTTTCTTTAGTTATAGAAAAGACATTTTTGATGGTTATAGTCCTGTTTTTGGGTTGCTTTTCGGTGTGCTGTTGTTTGATTCAAGCATATTCATCTAAATGTAAACATCTAAATGTAAAATGGCATATATTTAGAAGGTTTAGCAAAATACCTCCAAAATGTTATATGGAAATGCTTTGTTTTGATGTAGCAGTTTGAGATTAAAATAAATTTTTTTATGAAACAGGATGGACTTTCCTCTGCTAATATATAAGTAACATAGTAGCTTTAACTTATTTTTACTGTGGTAACAATTTCCCTTTCTGCCTCTGCATAAAACACACCGTTCTAAAGGTTTCACTTCAGAAAATACATCAGAATACTTTTTTTTTTCAAGGGTTGTGGATCATGAAGATTTTTTTTAGAAAAAATTTGCTCCACATGGTGTCATTTTTGCCCACTCGCTCGTTCTTATTGTTGCATGATGAACATTTACGTTAACTGTGGCAGCTGACTTCTTCAATGCTTTACATGTTGTTTGGTGTTATATTGTGACCCCAGTGTCGAGCTGTAAATGTATTCTTGGTGTGAATCCATCTGACTGCCCTCCCCAGGGAAGGTTCATCACTGCTGAATGATTTCTCTAGACTTGGTCTCACTTTGGTTTACTGTTGTCCAAAAGTCTAATAAACTGCATTTTCAACCATTTCCAGTCATGATTGCAGTTTTCACATTTTCTTCAGATCAAAACAAATTTCTTAAACAATTCATCCATTCTTGAAAGAAAAAAAAATCATTTAATTAAAACTAATCTATTTTTTAACATGAGGGCATTTGCTTTTTCATATCTAGTGTCAGGTTGGTTTGGGGATATTTTCTCCCTTAAAATTAAAGCTTATAGCTAAAAAATGTTTAACAAAACAATTCCTTTTTCAAAGATAATGCATTACGGAAGAGTAGTGCCTACAAATATAAAGTATGAATTATTTTATTCAAGAAAAAGTGTACAAATTATTAATGTATACATTTTAACAGGTCCAAAATACATAGGTATTTATTTCTGGTTATGATGGTAACATTGAATCAAAGGTTTTTGGACCAATAGGAATAGTAGGTCAAAGTCAAGTTAAGATGTGCCTTAAATTGTCTCTGCATGTCTGCAGGTAGCTCATGCTCTGGAGAACGATCTCGGTGTGATCGCCTGCATCGGAGAGAAGCTGGAGGAGCGCGAGGCCGGCTCCACAGAGGAGGTGGTTTTCGCTCAGACTCAGGTTATTGCAGGTATATCATTTTTGATCAGCCTTTTACAACCTGCTCTTTATTTTGTTTAATTCAATAAATATTAACATTTTCCTTTTGTTTTTTTGTTTTTTTACTTTTTGCAACAACAACAAAAAAAAAAATATATATATATATATATATAAAGAGAGTAATACAACCAATGTACAATTGGATGTAATATTTGAAAAAGCTAATTGTAAATTTTAAGAAAACGTCGTTTTTTTGTCAGTTCTTTAAGAGTTGATTAGAAATAACACCTTTATTGTCCTATAGTGGGGATATTCAAGTGTGACGGTGGCAGAAACAAACCGAAAGAAAAAAATCTTATATGTGGGTAGGGTGAAAATGTGTATAAAAGGTGGAACTCAAAGGTTTTTCTGTTAAATTAATCATTTCAAATGAATCATTCAGCACCACCACCCCCAAAACTTCACTTTCATTAGAACACAGGGTTTGTCTCTAAGGCCCCGTCCACACGAAGACGAACCCTGGCCTAAACGCACAAATTTTTCACCAAACCAGCCTCTCATCCACACGAAGCCGGCGTTTCGGGGGTCTGTAAACGATCTTTTTTTTATTCAGCCTTCAGAGTGGGAAGATTCTGAAACGCCGTTTTCGCGTTTCCATCTTTACGCCCTAACCGCATATTTTCTTTTACACGCATGCGTCATAGCGTCGCCTCTAAACACGCATGCGCGACACATCACAACAACAATGGCGCCGTTGCTGCTAATGCTACTCACCCTGCTGTCGGGCTTACAACAGAATCTTCTTCTTCTGGAATATCTCCAGGAAGAACAGAGCAATATAGACGACATAGTTCAGCACCTGAATTTGACTTAACCACGAAAATGGACCCGCAGGGCAAACATGTATAAATATTAGTGCACATGCCCAACATTTCGTCGCTTATTTTTGCTTTGGCACCACAGCGCCACTTACAGGCCTGGCATACATTTTGCAGCATTTTCATGCATTCGTGTGGACGCTCACATTTATTTTACGTCTCCGTCTTTACGGCAAACGTTTTGGAAAATATCAGCGTTTCGTGTTCGTTTTGACTTCGTGTGGACGGGGCCTAAAGCTTGACGTTTTTTTTCTCCATATGACCTTTTCAAGGGAAAATCAGGCTTGTTCCATGTTTCCTCAGGATTGTTGTCTTCCTCATCACTGAGTGTTCTTTCAGTCTAATCATACGTATTAGGTAATGGCTCATCTTTTCATTCTAAGGCGTAGTTCAGACCAAATATATTCATCTGTGGGACACAGGACCCTCCTCCTTCCTGAACGGGATGATGGCTGGACATCCGCATGCTGTTGTTACTTGTTTGGACAGATGATAGTGACTTTAGGCCTCTGACACGTACTTGTAGAGTAATTCTTTCCCTGATACTTTTGCTGACATCCTTTAATTTCACATAAAGCAGCAATTGTGTCTCCAAATAACCCAGATGTTGTGATTTAACCTATCAAAGGCCTAACAAATCCATAATATTATCATCTAAGTGACTTAAGGCCAAAGTGGTCTTTTTTTTTCCTCTTTTTTTTTTTAAGAAAACATGTTAATCGTAAAGGAAATCTTAAAAAAGGGACTTTTAATATGATTAACTAAATGTAACATATGTTTACAGTCTATGTGTAGGTCTGGCTTCAACTCTCAATTTATTTACTTACGTGCTACACACATCAATAAATGATCTGTTTTACTCTGCATTACATAATCAGATTAAAGATCTTTTCTCTGTTTGCCTCATGCATTTTTCTGCTGCACTGAAACTAGGCTGCACTCTACTTTAAAATGTAAATAGGTCAGTGGACTCTGCTGCTGGAGAAATTTTAAGAGACACAGCTATGTCTCAGCAGCCCTACACTGCTACCAGGACATGCAAACTGCAAACATTTCTCTGTTTTCTATATGCATTAATATGTCATCGTAGATTATGCTGCTGTCTTATTTTCATTCTGCATGGAGTAAAAGGAATTTGTGTTACAGAAAATGTGAAGGACTGGGAGAAAATGGTGCTGGCATATGAACCTGTTTGGGCCATCGGCACTGGAAAGACAGCCACACCTGAGCAGGTAACAATAGAGGGAGAAGAAAGTGGCTTTAGCTGCTGTGTCTCAAGGCTTTCAGTAAAGGGTTGTTTGCACCAAACCCTGAACTACAACTTAACTAAAATAACTAACAAGAAACATCTAATCCAGTATCTGCTCTGAAAAAATGTGCATCTGGATTAAAGATGGACAGAAAAATGAGAATTTCATCCATCAACAGCTCCCTAAAAAGGAACACATACGCTGGAATTTAAAATAATCCAACCTCCTTTTCTAAATAAATAACAAAACTAGAATCTGGAATGAGTCTTGTTATAAAAGTGTGCTTTTATGCCTATTAAATGGGGTTCAGATTATTTACTGATAAGATTTACCACCTATTTAACATGATTTTTTTAAGATAAGAAAAAAATCATGCATAATAAAGGTTTATTTGTTGCACTTGCTTATTCATACAATCTGATTTGTATGAATAAGTATTTGATAAAATGGAAATTAATGCTATGATTGATCTAATCAAGAGAAATTGTTAGGGCCCACAGGAAAGAGAATTTAAATTGTCCACTTAAAATGGCTCAGTAAACCATAAACCAAGCAAAGGAACAAAAATAGATCAATTAATAAAGAATGAGGTGTAGATACATATAATATGAAAGACAACAAAAAAAAAAGGTCTGATATTAACTACTAAAACTTTAAAAAGGTTTGTAGAAATTATCACATAAACCTGTACAAAAACACAACTAAATAAACAAATTGAAATTTATTTTCCAAAGATAGCGTTATTGTTTTCTTGTGATGTTGTATCCAAGGAAACAATCATAGATGCTTTTACTTTTATGACTAGAAACACAATAAATCTTGAGTCGAAGAGGTTTAACCAACATTCTTGTATCATTAATTTCTTTTTCTCTATGAACTTACTTGACAAATGTCTATTTGTTTCCTCCTCAGGCTCAGGAGGTCCATGAGAAGCTGAGGGTCTGGTTCAGAGCAAACGTATCAGATGATGTGGCTGACTCACTGCGCATCATTTATGGAGGTCAGTAATGATTCAGCGCTGGTCACTTCTGCTTGTAATTATCCTGTTGTCTCCTTTATATTTTTATTGCTATATTTCTCTACATTATTTGTATTTTTCAAGCTACCATACTTCCTTATGGAGGATTTAACAGTGCCCCCCTTAATTTGAATGGAGGTCTGATTTTAAGGCTGAATTTGACTTTGCACTGAAAATCCAACTACATGTGAAGCTTATTGATTATTTTACAGCAAAGGCAAAACCCAGTGAAAAATAATTCACAAACAGGCAACTCAAGGGAAGTCAGGAAGAGTTTAATTACCCCACACTGACACTAAAATGAGTTGATCATAGGAGATTTAATAAATATATATGTATAAACATGCAGGATTAATTCTGCATGTTTATATTAATGTTAAATTAATTTGTTTGAAAATAATATCTTGCAAAAATGAACGATCATGTTTGCATGGCCTGTCTTCCAGGTTCAGTCACAGGAGCGAACTGCAGGGAGCTGGCGTCTCAGGCCGACGTGGACGGCTTCCTGGTTGGAGGAGCCTCTCTGAAACCCGAGTTCGTCGACATCATCAATGCACGCGTGTAATACGTACCGATAATCACTAAACTGCCTTTAGTCTGTCACACTATGATGTTTCACCCGGACTAAAGTAACTCATGCACAAATTTCTTCATACTTTTAACTTTCACTTAAAGGATTTGTTGAATGATTAGTCATGAATAACATTTTTTTGTTGTCCAAAGTTTAATTCTTATCAGTCTAAAATGTGAGACACAATAACATTTAAAAACTTTTAAAATAACGTTTTCATTTTTTTTTTTTTACGTTGGTGTGATCTCATTATTAGCTGCTATTCATTTTACTAGAAACATATTTTTTGAATCCATCCACCAGACTATGTCAATTCTAATGTTTGCTGACTAATTGTAATAATGTCCTCACTGCTGTAACATTGCTCACCTCTATGCTAATGCAAAGTCTGTAACGATTAATGTTCCAGAGTTTACTTGAATTAACGCAAAGCAAAGTAAATATCAGGAGTTAGTGACTCAGTAGGTCCAAATGCTTTACTGTGTGTAGTTTAACACGGACTCAGGTGTTTCTGTAGAGTCAGGAGACTGATTAATATGAACTGAAACCAAATAAATCAAATGTGGAAACATTGTGTGGTTTATTTCTCTAATTTGGCTGATTTCATAGAGAGCAATTAACACGTGTTTTTAGGCTGTGGAAGAACCTGGAGAGAACCTGAACCTGCATGGCGAGAACCTGCAGACCTTTATGTAGAGATTTGCTTTATGCAAGGCAACAGTGTTTAGATACAATGAAAAGCACCATGACCCTTCCTAAGAATTAAGGTTTTTATCTTGCAAGCATTGCTATCTTCAATCTGATTTAGATAGGTCAGATCTGATTGCTCTAGATAGGAATGGTCTTCCTTTGACTAAAGACACTCTGTTGTCGTTCAACAGACTGATGAAGAGGATGCTCACTGTTTTCCATAATGTTCTTCATTTTATTAAGACTTCTTCTTTGTAAATTTATCTTCAGAGCAGTTCCTCGAACAGCGCTGGCCTTCTTTATTATCTTATTGAGCTTTTTTAACTCATTTGCTCTGATTCTGTGACCCCAGCCAATGATGCAGGAAGAAATCTTATTCTGCACAATAGACTGATAGAAGATATGTATCATCTTGCTACAAACACCAAAAGAACTAAGCTTCCTCCAAGTCCAGTCTGCTCTGTCACTTCTTGTAGACGACTTAGTCGCGTCTCCAGTCTAGTTTGTTGTTCAGTTGCACACCAAGGTATTTATGCTCTTCAACCACCTCCACTTCTTCTCCCATGATGTTAACAGGATTAAACTTGTTCCTGTTTCTTCTTAAATCTACAATAACCCCCCTTTTTTGTTGACATTCAGGATCAGATGAAGTGTTTCCACATCATTCCACAAAGTGTGTCACTATTGTTGTTTTAGAGAGTTATTTCTCAGTTTCTTCTAAAATAGCTTTTTCTATTGCTTTTTGCACAGCAAGTAAATAAAGACTAGGCTTTCAAGATCTTGCTTGGAGCAGGACTGACAGTTTTTGTCGTCTGTTGACTTCATCTGATTTTTCCATGTTTTCATTGGCTTCAAAAGGCAAGACTCCACTATTATTCTCCCTGTACCAACAGCTGTGATGATAGCTGTGGAGGCTAACACATTAACGGCTGTATTGGCTGTGAATCAAACTGAGCCCGCGCTGCTTGAAGTGTAAATTATTCTGTCACCACCTTCATTGCCTTCAGCTTGGTCCAACCGGGGAATCTGGAGACGTTGCATATTCAGAAGCTTTGTGCAGTTCTGTGAAGGTTTGTTCCCTGAAAGCAAACATAGAGAAAACACCTGGAAAAAATGAGACTGAGTAGCACAGCCCAGACTTGTTTAGGTTACAAGAGTTGATACCTTAGGAGGAATAGAAGGAATTTTACAATGATCGTAATGGCAAAAGTCTGTGAAAAATAAGAATAAAGAAATCAAAGGTAAATGAGGCAAATACATTTTCAATCCAGATAAAATATTAGGAGCTTACATCAAGCATTTCTGAAGACCACATTTCTGCTGGTTTGTTTGTAGTCAACATAAAAATGAGAGAAGTGGTTCTAGTTTTGCTTCGCTGCCACCGACTGGTTTGGATCTGCAGAAAGAGGCTTTAACAGGAATGTAAGTCCTGCAACAATCAGTGGCTGTTCTTAAATGAATGAAAACAGATTTGAACTATGAATGAAAGACTTCAACCTTTAATCATTGGGTTATTAATGATTCAGCCACGGAGAGGAGAAGAAACTGCTTGTGAGAAGAGCTCAGAGCAAAGCCATTTTTCTAGAACAGAGGTCTGCAACATTTACAATCTATAGAGGCATTTCCGACAGTGGCAGATCAAAAACTTTTTAGAGCTGCAAAGATTGAATCTTTGTTGACTGATTACAACCTTATAGAAATTTAAAAAACATATCTTTGTTAAATATCTGCTATAGGAAACCGTTTTCCATTTTAAACAAGCAGTTTATTTGTATTTTTAGCTGTAAAATCCAGAAAACGTTTAATGAAGACAAAGTAAGGATGTTCCTCCAAAGGATCTTATTTCAACTAAAAAACAAAAAAACAATTTCCGAGCTAATGGCAAAAAAAAAAGATGATTTAAAACCGTCTTTTTTTGTATTTTAATGCCATTCTGTTATGAAATTCTACCAAATATTATTTTGTTAAACCCACTAAAGGCTGCTATCTGTTATTCTACTACTACATTACTTGTTTCTTAATATAATTTTAGGCTAAAATTAAGAGCCACTGTAGAGTTTCTATAGAGTCACCTGTGGTTCCGGAGCCGCATGTTGTAGACCCCTGTTCTAGAATATAAGGACTTGGCTGATGGGGGTCAAACATTATAGGTTTATGTAGATAAATCTAGATGAATCAATAGATGGAAGCCTTGTTGTGTCCTTAGTTGCTTTGCTTTTCAGTGTTTTTTGTTTATCTATTGCTGCATTATTCTTTCTTATTCAGTTTTCTTCCCATTTCAGACCTGTAGTTTGTAGTTTTTTTGTTTTTCTGAGAACTACATATATTTTATATAAGATTTCCTCATTCTGAGGCGATTGCTGCTTCATTTGCTGTTGTAGCTGCATGCTGGGACATATTTTCTCCTTTTCTTTGCCTTTCTATTTTCTTATCTGAAATCATCCACGAATATCCTTAATTTCCCTTCACACAGCACCAGCTGTAATCTTCTACAAAGGAGCTACTTTACAGAGAAGCAGATCCTTTGTTTTCCTCTCTGAATATGGATTCAACAGATGTGTAAACTTTATGTGGATTTCCAGTGATATTTGGAGGTTATGTTATGCTGTCTGTATGTACTGGTGTTATGTGTCACTTTGTGGAGAAATGCAAACACAGACAGAGAAGAAGCTTTGATTGAAATCTTAGAACATCATTTTTATTTCACATTATTTTCATTGACAAGCGTTCCGTTATTGTTTTCATTTTTTATTCATTGCTCTTTCTTCTTTTTTTTTGACACAGCTAATCTATGGACAAACGGGGGGTGGGGGGCAGGGGGCAAAGGGCTTCAGGTTTTAAGGTTTATTTTTCCCTTTTCTTTTGGGACAGAAAAGCAGGACTTCAAGCATGGAGGACAAATAATCAGATTCATACCAGGTTGAGAAGAAAACAGGAACAGTTAAAACCGAGACACAGACACAACAAGAAGAAGGAGAGTCAAATATATGGAGGGGGGGGGGGGTATTAGAGCTGGGAGGAAAGTGTCCAGGTGAGAGTGTGACACAGCTGAGTGTGAGTGTGTAGGTGTGTGTGTTCAAGTGTTTCAGAGGGTTTATTATTGATCTAGTTGTTTTCACTCTCTTCCTACATCTGCATCATCCTCTTTTGGTCATAAAAGTTTAACCTTTTTATCTCTTTCATTCGCGTGCTTCATACTATTATTCTACAGAATTTCTACTTGTTTACCCCTGATTTTTTTTTTATAATAATCTTTATTTTTGCAGGCCAGTCTCCTGGCTGTACATGAACTATTCCTACAGTAACAGTGCATGTCTGGCTTATAGATTCTAGTGTTTGTTTTTTTAAGTCTTCCCCTGCATGTGTGTTTTCAGGTGTTGCATCTGTGTGTGTCAGTGTGTGTCTGCATACAGCATCACCTCCCTTCTTTCCAGTCGAGTGCATAATTAATTCATTTCTTTCGCTTGGCTCTTTTGCAATTCTATTTCTCCTGAATTTGAGTGATCTTTCTTTGTACATGGCTCATTCCTTGTTAGTCGTTTGTGTCAGTTTGCGTGGGCATTTTGCGTGCGTTGAGTGTGTGAGTCAGTCTCGTCCGTCAGCTGGTTTCACAGGACACTTGGGTTCCTGAAGTTATGGCCTGCGAAGCGAGCCTGGTCGCCCAACTCCTCCTCGATCCTTAAGAGTAAGAGAAACACAGATTTGTCCACATGAATATGTAGCATTCAGAGTCCGGCACTCCTTCCTGTGCTCTCCTCTACTCCGCCCAATCCTTTTCTAAAATATTCTCTGCAATGATCGAGCCTCATATGAGACATTGGGTCAGAAGCCACTTGATATTTATTTCATAAAAGTAACAATATCTTTAAAAAAAAAATGGGGGTTTCCCACATGAAATACCTGCCCTCAGCATCATGGATCCCCCACCTTACAGTGAGCCTGAGCCACACAGTTCCATCTTTCTTTGTTTTTTGTCTTTTTAATGATAGAACGGGCGAAGCTTATCTTTCAAAGCTTATCTTTCTGGTTGCTATAGCGAAGCTGATCCCAATTAGTCTTATCCTGGTTAAATAAAGGTTGATTATGTTACTTCTCCTATTTTAAATGTTGGCATGTTCAGATTAACTGTAGTCATTTCATGATTTATGAGGATCGAATCACCATCTCCATATATAAAATGCATATTCTCTTGTGTCATCATATCTTTGAGGGTCCAGTAGCTGGGATGACACTGTAGATCTATTATAACAGTTAGCAATATGGTTCTATTAACCTATACCAGAATATGATGCAAACAGTACATATAAAAGTGTTTAAAACAAGAAAAACATTACAGAAAATGAAGACAAACCTTTTCATCTTTAAACTATCTTCAGCATAAACAGACCCAGTGTTTGGAAGTTAGATGTTCTCTCACCTAAGTAATTAAATTTAACGAGGTTTGTTCTAATTCTGAAATGGGAAATTATTTTGGGTGAAAAAAGTGGATTTAAAAGAAAATGTATGCTGATTTGCTTACAGACCAAATAAGAAGTTTTAAATTAAACATGTTGTCTTGTTTTTCATTTGAGTGTACTTTGCCTGTATTCAACAATTTGCCTTTTCTTATTGGTTAAAGCCCCTCTAAGCCTCCTCTTCTCCTGGGCTTCCACAGCGGCCCAATGGGATTAAACCGCTGAGCCGACCACACCTCCTCCTAGTCTCCCTGCTCCCTGAGGCTAACGACTAGCTCGGACACATGGGGTGACACCAGCAATGCCGTTGACTGTCACGTCAATTAGCTCGGATTCTAAGTACTAAAATAGCGCAGGACCTAAGGAGATGTGGTTCTGCAGAGCTGCTGCTCTGCCTAATTTGATTTAAACTAAAACTAGACAAAGGTTGAAAGGTTTTTAGCACCATACAACAATGAATTGAAAATGAGACTTTGTATTTACATTAAAGAAAAATGCTGATAATATTCCATTTATCTGAGATCAAAAAAGAAAATTTTGAATTTAAGTACATCAGCAAATTTTAAGATGTAAACTTTCAGATATTTAAAAATAATAAAGTATGGAAATGAAGTATAAGGTCAAGATATATAGGACACCTAAAAGGTGTTAACGGTTATTTCTCTGCAGCTGACTGACCTCATGAGCTGGTTGTATTTGGCCAATCGCTCAGATCTGCAGGGGGCGCCAGTCTTAATCTGCAATAGAGAGAGAAGTAAAATGCAAACTAAGTTAAAAGTAAATTGGATAATAAGAGTCAGAGATGGGAGTTTATTGCTAAAATTGTAAAAGCTAAAGTTTCAAGTCAGCATGCACAACTATTTTTTAAACCAATGCATAAAAAAACATCATTTGCCAATTTCATGCACTGATGGAGGATTGGGAGGAGATGGCTGTTTGTTAATGTGCATCAGACTCTTTACCTGTCCAGTGCAGAGTCCCACCACCAGGTCAGCAATAAAGGTGTCCTCTGTCTCCCCTGAGCGATGGCTGACCATCACACCCCAACCATTGGCCTGGGCCAGCTTGCATCTGAAAGAAAGAGGCGGTAGTTTAAGGCATGACCCAAAAAAGAAATGTCTGTAGTGTTAAAATTAAACATAGAATGACAAAGAACCTATGTAAAAATTATTACCCTTGTCAGTTAAAGGTATTTTGTAAAAAGAAATGCTACTCAACTGTTTAAATACCACATATGTAACAAAGTATGTAATCAAATACGAGTTACTGTGGGGTTTTATTGTGTATCCTATCAGGACTGATGAGATATACGTCATATTCATTGTGTCCTTGCCTGCTGTAATGGCTGCATTTACAGCCACGCAGATGTGGTAACAAACACAGTTTATGTAATTTATTTGTTTATATAGGGTTTTATTTACAGAGCCATCTCATTGTTTGGATTTATTCATGACCATTACACTGTATCCCCATATTAATGCACATTCTTTAGTTTACCCTTTTTTTTTGTTATGATCGTGTTTAATTGATATTCTGTTTGAGTTTTGCAGCAGCTCCAGTCGAGCAGGAACCAGCAGGAGGCCGATGGGCTGAGTTGATTTGTGCCGTACCACAGCAATGCTATCGGGGGAAATGGGGTTTTACTTCTTAGTTTAGTTATGTTTCTGTACGTTTTGCCCCATGTGTTTATTTTGTGTACTGATCATCCACTAGTTGCCTCATTAAGAGAGGTCAGTTTGTTGGAGTTAGTCTTATATTTTGATATTTTGAGTAGTTATGGTTCTTTTTACCTATTTTCTGGATCCATTTTTGTACTATTTATATTTTTTGGGAGGTTTAAATAAATTAACCCTTGTTTTTGCACATGCACTGTTCTTACTGCTTGATCTGTAACACCTGCACCCAAAAATTTAGCACACATGCTAGAAAATCAGTCAATCCAACATTTCCCCAGCTTGAGTCTCAACGTCCTTCCAAGCAATCCAGATCCCTTTTAACACACAGAATTATCTTATAAGATTATCTTCAGAGCCATCACCATAATATAGCCCGAGTTCAAGGTTAGATTCGTCTATAGGATAGTAAAAGAGGATAAATGTAAAAGGGAATTTCACAGTCACTGAAGCACAATATCCATCTTTTCTCTTCACTCATATCTGCAGTTTTGCATGTATTACCCTCTTAATTGGGGAAGTGCATTAATCACATTATGATTCATTTGTAGCTGCAGGTCATTTGACAAGTTAACAGCATGTAAATGAAGACGTCAGCTGATGCTCCAGGCTTTTAGGGATCTTGCACTTAGCCAGCTGAGCTCTTAAATATATCAGATTAATGATGCAGCGAGTTTTTTTATGAGATGAGTCCAATACATCACTGCTCGTGTCACTGGTCCTGTTTTATCATTTGATCTCCCTCACATCCTCTACTCTATTACAGCTGGACGCTATGACTGATGGTTTCATAAGACAGAGGGATGTTAAGACTCAGATTTATGTCACAGACAGAGAGTGTACCTCTATGCATAGATGAGTACAGATGAAATGAGCAGAGATACCAGTTTTTATTAATTTCTGGGCCTGTATTTTGCAGTGAGCTTACTCCCCCCTGTGTGCACGTTTGCAGGAGTGACTGATGATGAGACACAGAAGCCTTTATGACCCTACAAGGTCAGAGCCTCCAGGAGGTGGTTCTGTTTGTTCCTTTTAATTTCACAGAAGAGTGGCTTCAGGTCGCCTGACTTAGATCTTTTTGATAGACCCCTCAATAATGGTGCTTAGATCAAAGGTGAAATTTGTAGTTGGTCTGTCAAAATGTTCTGCAGCAATACATGATTTTTTTGCTTTTAACTTATTATTTTCAGCTGGTCCAAAAGTTTTTCCTCATCTATCTAATGCAGCTACTTTTCCAAACCACCTTATGATTGCAGCCTTTCCCTGACCTTCTCTTTTGTTTGGAAAAATATCAGATTAGGGTAAATATTGAGCCCTTAAAGTCTTACATGACCTAAAAAGGGGGGGAAAAAAAGTTTTTGGGATCCTCAAAAATTCCAATAAAGAGTGCTAAATTGCTTGTTGAAAATAAAAAAAAGTCATGTTAAATTTGTGGGAGTGTTGCAAATGATCTACTAAGACTGAACATGCATTTAAAAACATCTGCAGATGTGGTACGGCCGCCCTATTTGAATAAGGAAATTGCATGTTTACCCTTTAAATCCCTACAGGGCTTCTTAACTGTAATACAGTAAATGAAGATGTGGTTTTAAAGACAAGGGAAAGCATTTTTGTGTTAACTAACATATTTTTTTAAGTAAAAAAAAACAAAACACAGTTAATTAATGATTAAAAAGCAGACATACGCCTGTATTGCTTCAGTGACGGAGCCGATCTGGTTTACTTTGAGCAGCAGACAATTACATGCTCTCTCCTCAGCAGCTTTCTCTATTCTCTTTGGGTTGGTCACCGTCAAGTCGTCTCCAACGACCTGAATCCCCACTTGGGCCGTCAGACGGGACCAGGCTTCCCAATCATCCTGGTCAAATGGGTCCTCGATAGAAACCACTGGAAGGAAGTAGCGATAAATGATTAAGTCTGAGCGAAAACCAAAAGGACTTTCTGTTTATTGATTATCAGACAAAAGGTTTTGCACCTGGGTAATTATTGACGAAGCTTTGGTAGATATCAGCCAGCTCTTCTGCACTGATGTGTCGGGACGAATCTGGCGGGGATTTGAAGTCCAGGTCGTACCTGCCCTCGCGGTAGAACTCTGAGGCGGCCACATCCATCCCAACGACAACTTTATCTGTGAAACCTGCTTTCTCTATGGCAGTCTGCAGCAGGTCCAGTGCTGAGCAGTGAAAGAGACAGAAGGAAGAGGAGATGGACGCATGATAAAAAATTAAGAAACAAGTTTCTGAGAGTAAGATGGCATTAATTTAGGTATTTTCTAATCAGAAGCATTTCCTCACCCTCACTGTTCTCCAAGATGTTGGGAGCAAACCCTCCCTCATCTCCAACATTAATGGCATCCTGACCGTATTTCTCATGAATCACGCCTTTCAGTGTGTGGTAGAGCTCTGATCCTATCCTCAGGGCCTCCCTGAAAACCAAACCATGGAAAAGGGATGATCAAAAGATTGCAACAGGGAACTAAAATCCGCCAATTAAAACAGGGTATTTTTTTTTTTGGTAAATAATAAATACAAATTCTGTTTAATTAAAAAAACATTTGTTACTTGAAAGACTCGGCCCCAACAGGCAGAACCATGAACTCCTGCATGGCAAGTTTGTTTCCTGCATGAGATCCTCCATTTATCACATTGAAAGCCTGGAAGTAGAGTGAGAAAAATGGGTTTAGAAACAGCAGGAGAACAATAAAGGTAGCTAAATATTTTCAACATACAGCTGCAGGTATTTGTGAACAAGGCTTACAGGAACCGGCAGCACAAGCTCTGTGTTTCCAGCTAGGTCGGCTATGTGGCGGTACAGTGGGACTTCCTTCTCTGCTGCACCGGCTTTACAGATGGCGAGGGATACTCCCAAAATGGCATTAGCTCCATACTTCGCTGTTTGACCAGACACATGATGAAGAAACACAGAAGTTAGCATCATTAATTGTTTTATGATTGTTGTTTTGAAGGGACAGAAACATGAAAGTGAGAGCAGGAAACCTAAACTAAAATGTCCTCTCACCCAGCTTACACTCTCCTTATATCGAATTAATTCTCTCTAATGAGAATGTGATTAAAATGTAAAATTGCTTTTTACTTTTTGTATATATAATATTATCAACTACTTTAGTCATAAACAAGGCCTTAGGTACTTTTATTTATTATTATTATTATGATTGAATACTTTCATGCAATTTTTTTATTTATTTTTTTTGTTTTTTTATAGGAACTGATGATTTTTGATGGGAAGGTAAAAAAAAAAAAACATGCTTTAAAAATAACTGACATTTATTGTATATATTGATTGTAATTAATGTTCTTAATGTATCAAAACATTATTATATATCACAGATTGACAGACAAACAGAGGGACACAGGAAGACATCATAACGTTTGACATCTTTAAACTTTAATAGTCTTCATATAACTTATTTGTTAGTCCTTTAAATGACTCATTTCTACATTTTACCATTGATTTAAACCATCTTTTTATGATTCTACAATCAATAAAATGATGAAAATGAAAACTTTGCAAGCTAAACTTATTTTAAGTTATGAAACTAAAAAGACTTGGTTTTCCGTTTCTGCTCTCCGTATTTTTCAGGTAATTTACCTTTAGAACAAGAAAGTGTTGAAAACAGGAGTATAATTTCCTCCATTACTGTGTGTGTTTTCTGAGATAACTTTAATTGAAACTAAAGTCTTGCTTCTCTCATTTTTAAACACTTAATGAGTTACAATTTGTAACAAATGAAAACTGTTGCTTAAATTTTGAAAACAAGTAGATATTTAGGATAAATCATGAAGACTAAAAAAGGATTTCGTTTTAATACGATAATTCATACGGCAGAGTGATACTTATTGCCGTCATTAAACACTTTAAGGATGTTTTTTGTAATTTGTAGATGGAAGCAAAGACAAATAATTATTTGACTGATTTGTTTTGTCAGGTTTATTCCACCTACTACTATTAATTTATCCCAACAAACCTTTTTCACGGCTGTTAACTGTGCTTCCAGGAATGAATATTTGTCATGTTGTGTAGATGAAATAAATCCAAAGTGCCTTTATTCATTAAAGATGTGAGTTTGCGTTCTCTGAGCCAAACCAATCTATTTGATCTGTCTTGTTCCCATCTGTATTTATGCAGCTTATTGCTCTGCAAAGGACTCTGTGACAAATGAGTCTTTGGTGCAAATATATATTTTTTTTTTTAAATATGTGAGCTGCTAAACATGGGAGCTTTCCTGCTGGCTGGTAGAGTCTGATGATGTGGTATTAGTCATCCCATCGGGTTCTGACTCACATTTGTTTTCTGTGCCATCCATTTCAATCATCATGTTGTCCAACTGCTCCTGCTCCACCACACTGATACCCTGCAGACAGAAAACATCCACATCAATATTTTATAAATGAGCACATTTATAAAAGCTTTAAAAAACAGTCACTTTACATATTTCTGTTTTAATTTTAATCTGTTTCTTTGAGGTGATTAAAAACTTGCCTAAGAAATAAACATATAAACAACGTATAAATTAGCGTGTTTCTGTTCAATAAATACACTTTTTTTTATCAACAGTAAACTTAGCGGTAATGTTTGAGTTTGGTTTGCTTTGTATTTTGTTTTATTATTGTTTTTGTACTACTTTGTATTATTATGGGAGCTAACTAATATATATAGTAAAAGAGGACTGAAGTGGGGTGTTCAATCATTAAAAATGCATGTTAATGATATGATAATTAGCTGATGAAATAAAGCTTTATTCATAATTGGGGTGCCTTTTTCAGGTAAATCTGCAGTTAACAGTAGAACTAGCAGCCTTTTCTCACTACTGCTTTTCTACTCATTCTACATCATTAGGCCAGCTTTCTTATGTGAATGCAGCCATTAGATTAGATGTACTTATACCAGAGTCACGGGCAGTTTCAGTCTATGAAAGTCTGAATTTAAGTGTTATAGGCCATGGTGTGGAGGCTGTATCAGGAAACTTTCTGAGTTATCATGAAACTAATTATAGTAATAATACATAATGCCGGTGAAGATTATCAGTCATCTAGTTCATAGTCATTTCAAAAAAGTTAAAAACAATCCAATGGACTTTGTTTCCAAGTTTAAAGATGTTTTGTTTCCCATCCAAGGACCTTTTTTAATTCAAAATGTCAGAAATAGGACATGGAACATGCAAAGGGGAACGGAACACCTCGCCTGTCCAGCCAGGCCAATAATTCCCTCTAACGACCTCCCTTTCAGAGATATAGACAGGTATCGGGTATTGCACGCTAACAAAGAACACAAACGACTTCCCATTCCTAAGGGGCAGACCCGTTCGTCCGGTTCAATTTGCATGTTTTCTAAGCCAAAACATTAGTCATAATAACTATTGAGGTAATAGCGGAAAAAATATAATTTCAAATAATATGGGTAGGTCTTCATGGTCAAAGAATCCAATAATGTTGACAAGACTAATACGAAAATTTTAGTTTGAGGTTTAAATCACAATATGAGGGAAACAAGCTGCTTAGCAGAGGCCTCTTCCCTCTGAGTGCTTCTCCGGTTCAATTAAGTCATTGGACCCTAAACAAGTCATGAGTATGAGTCAAATCAAAAAATTAAAGTGAAATAATTTATCGGTCAAACTCAAAGATTGAAAATGTAAACATCAAAGATTTTAAATTCAATAAATTCAATCATTCTATATTTTTTGGTCCAAACAAAACAACAAAATCTACAACTACCCTTAAACGTAGAGAATTAAGAACACTGCTGTCCGCATAAGCACATTCTCCAGTGTTTCCAATAACAAGAGGTTTATGTGATGTTACTTCTTTAAGGCTTTTTTTAATCCTCCAAGTAGGCCTATGTTATAAATTTGTAAACAAGCTTTCTGATCCCGGCATATAAAGAAGGTCCAATTGTTTTCACAAACACCTGCCTGGCACAAGTCCAGTTTTATGCATTTTAATCATACTGTATGTCGCCCACAGATGTGCAGCGAACAGTGGAGAACAGAAGGCTTTAAACAGAGCGACTTTGATCTAATCAGAACACGTGCAAAATTGCATGGCACTATGTTTGCTTTTGCATAAAGGTTATGATACTGTCTATGTATATCATCATCACCATCATCATCCTCCTCACAAAAATCCCTCCTAATAATGTGACCAAGACATTTAATCTTCTCCACAACAATTAATACTGAACATTGTTTGACAGAGTGTAGAAGGGGAAATCTTTGATTTATTCTCTTTTGTCCTAACATTGATAACCACAGGCTTTTTTTGGTTTAAACCTTATGTCATATTGAGGACCATACTCTAAGTAGACATTGAGCAGTTGTTGCAGAATAGGGGGATATGTTGACTAAATCCTCTGCATTAAGGACATGGTTTCAATGTTGGTCTCACAACACACAGCCTGTTTTACAGTCTTTTTTGTAACTTAATGCTTAAGTCTTTTAAGTTAATACTCAGAGCTCTGTAAGAGCTAACCTGGAAGCTGCTCCTGCTGTGGTGCATGCTGGGATAGCTGTAAAGCTCAACAACAAGACAAGTCTGCTCTGATGCATACTCGGTAAATAGGGAGGGGCGAGAGCAACATCTTTGTCCAGACTTTTTCCGTTCTCGGTCTGCTGTTCTTGTGAATTGCAACAGTACTTGGGCTGAGGTTGATGACGTTTCACGAGGACACGAGAACATGAGAACGCACACGTACCCATATTGAAAAACGGCCATCATTTTCATCCATTAGATCAGGGGCCTGCAAAATTGCCTTCGTGGGTCACTTAACATAAGAAATGATGTGCTCTTGCCCTTTTTTTGGGTTAGTGTTCTTCAACCACAACCAGCCCCATGAAACAACCCAGTCATTTTCAGTAAATTTTATTCCCATTAAATATAAAAAAAATTTTTTGCTGACTTACAGAGGCAACGAGGGCTGGTGCCAGAGAATCATTGATGTGTCCAACTGCCTTCAAAACACCTAAAGGAGAAAATCAAGGAGGAAAAGGCACATTTCTAAATTAGGTAAATAGAAAAAAAAATTTTTAGAAAATCCCTGCTCCAGATCTTTTAAGTGTCTACGAATAAAAGCAAACTTTTATTAACAAAGATATTGTTCTTTTGAACTGAAAGCAGATATTTTATATAGACAAACATAATTAAACAATGCTTTTCATTCAGACGAAGTGAGCTTCAGCTTTTAGTTATAATAAAAAACATACTTTGATATTAACAATTATTTATATTTTCTGTTGCTGTAAAATATAACAGCAAACTATATGAAAAAAAAATCTAAAAAATTTACATTTTGCAAAAAAAAAAACATATTTTTTTAAGACATCTTTATATCTAAAAGTTTATGACTTTATCCTTTTATCTTCTTACCTTTTCCCTTGAAGCGACTTTTGTCTCCATCTCGTAGCTCCAGAGCCTCGTAGATCCCTGTGGATGCCCCGCTGGGCACTGCAGCCCTGAACAGACCTAAAAACAACAGGAGAAAATGCTATTAAAAGGATTAAATGTCGTGGAAAATGGCTGAATTAATAGGCAGGTCACACAGAAAATACTATGTGAATGTAGATCCTCATCTGAAAAATCTGTTTTCATTATTCACCAATATTTCAGCTCAGTCTTAATGTCATAGTTAGATAGTTTAAACTTTTGGCTATAAAATATTTGTTTACTTCCCTTCTAATCCTGAATAAATTTGACTATCTAAGCACAAAGAGTCCTAAAGACTGTCTGTTACGTTTTTAAAGTAAAGAACCTTTTTCTGTGCGAAGATCCACTTCCACTGTGGGATTTCCACGGGAGTCCAAGATCTCCCTGGCAATGATGCTGATGATGGACATCCTGAAGGACAAACAGTGACATTACCAATACGTTAAACGATTCATAAATAAACCGGTAATTTTAAAAAATTTGATAAATAAATGGCTTTACAGAAAATGATAAATGCATCCTTTTATTTTTCTGTGGCTGCATTGTGAGAGATTGTATTTATATGGATACATGTTAGTCTGCAAGATGCAGAAAAATGAGTTTTATTTTAGGCACTTATTCCTCACGTTCTGCAAAAAGGCTGAGGAGTATTTTACCTCAGAAATATGTTTTTCATTCTATCTGGTTCAGCTGCAAGTTAATCTGTTAAATTCTTTCTCAGTCAATTCGACAAATACTTGTAGATCTTTCAGCTATACGGAAAGGATGCATTAATATTTAGGTTGAATGGATATTTAACTAAACATGTTAGAACTCAGCAAATGTAAAATTATTGTTTGTAAATTTAAGGACAACTAATCTCTGACAAAGTTACAATTACAACTAATCTCTGACAAAGTTACAATTACATTTTGAAACAGGAGTAGATTATAGTAGATTATAGTAGCAGGTTCAACTAGATAGGAGCACAACTTGCATTTTTCTTATGTAAAAAATACAGCAGATCTACAAAGCATCCAAATTTTCACCTTTAACTTATTTAACACATTGCACTGTGCTACACTAACTAGGAGGTTATAAATATAGATCATAAAAGCATGGATCATAATGTAGTAGTGAAGCAGCACAGGCAAACCCAGATTCACAATAGGACAATGAGACTCGGCTACGTCTTACATAGAAGACCAGGAATGAAATGAGGCTCTATCTTGTTCACTTGTGTGCTTCTTCCCCGTATCTCTGTTTCCACTGAACCTGTTTACTACTTCAGCCTTTTTTTATCCCAGGAGAAAGAGCTCGGAAACTCCATCAGCACTAATGCAGGCTGGATGCATCATGTGGAGCTAGTCTACACCTCGAAAAACAGCTCAACCTCCAGAGCTTTCATCTAAATGGGTCACAGCATTAGCGCGTGTCTCTACCAATGATCCGGGGAAATCTTGGCACCCTAATTTATCATCAAAGTTTCCATTCTTAACCAGCACTGGCTTCTTTAACAAAGGCATGTTCGTACCCAAGACTTTTCTCCATTTTGACGTTTAATGAATGTAGCTAGGCCATCGTCTGCAGCAGATAGGGCCAATTTTAATCATAAGAAAGCTTCGCACATGATGCAGAGGACAGAAAATAATTAATTTGAAACCATAAATGAATAAAATAAATAAAATTGTAAAACTTGATATAGTATCTTGTAAAAAACATCTGTAGAAAAAAGAGCATCAACATAAAAAAATATTCATATGAGGAGGAAAAGAGGAATTATTTCAGGACAAAGCAATAGCAATGATAGCATGGGCTGCTAATTTCTGTTAATGCTTATTTCTGGAATTTTTTTTTAAGTGTAGATAAATTCCTATCATGAATCATGGCCGCTTTAGATATGTATAAGTGTTTACTTTTCTGAAGTACAGGTTTTGTTTCTTTTCTTGATTTTAAACAGCTTATCTTTAAAGCTATCCACATCAAACCTCATAATTGGATTTAATAGAAAACCTTTGAAATATATTGAAAATATGTTTTCTTTTTCTTTTTCCAGCAGCAGGGAGACAGAACATGATATAACGGAAAAAATAATATTGACCTTTACAGTTTTTCTCTGTTTTTTGTCACTTTATACGTGCAATTTTTCATTAAGGTAAAACTTAAAAAGAAGAGCCGTTCTCTGCCTGACATCACAGGATTAAAAATGCATTAATTCTGTTTTTTTAGTTGTTTTATTACCATGACGTTATTAGCCCTCACAAAACCAGCAAAGTAATTAAACCAGTCACCTTACTGGCATTCCTCTTTGATTATCTGTGCTCTCCCATTGATATTCTAAACACGAAGACCTATAACTGCAGCAATATGTCAAAAAAAAGTCCTTCTTTGTCCCTCTTTGCAGTATGAATACTTTATTGATTTGTGAGCTAAATTTGGCTTGTAGCTTGGAGAAACCTGGCAGTGGGGCTGTTATTTTCAACTGTACTGACAGAAAGATAGAGAATCAGAAATAACGGAAAAAGTCTCCAATCCTGTTCCCTCCTCACTGTTTCAGGATCAGATAACTCGCAATATTTTGTCACTTAATGATGCAGGCAACATCTTAAATCAATAAAAAACTGCATTTTGTTGCAATATTCACTCGGAAGGTTTATTTGCAAAAACCGTGCAAATGTTTTTGATGTGAATATGTTTTAAGCAATAAAACCATTTGCTGAATATTTACTACCAATAGTTGTTTATTTTTTATTGTGATTCTGAATAAACTCTAAAACAAGCTGAATCAGGATACTTGTATGTTAAAATTAATCCTAATTTATAATGTAACGGTTCTGATGTGTTTATTTTGAATGCATTGTAAACAGTTCTGATGAAATGTTAACATAAACTCATTATGGTTCTGGAAACCACCTTATTTTTGGTCTTCTACAAAGTTATGTGAACAAATCAGCCTTTTATCGGAATTGAAGGATTGCAAAACAACAATTTTAACCCATCTTCTGTCCTAGGATAACCTATTTCATTCCCATTTGATTGTCACATTGCTCAGACCCGGCTTTTAAATATAGACCATTCATTTTCTATCTGTTGCAGTCAAAGAATGGGCAAAAAATAATTTCAGAAAACCATCCAGTCTGCTTCACTTTTGCATGGTTTTGGGACCGTTTTCCTGTTTTAAGACCCAACCACCTAAATTTCACTTTAACTTAAAGAAAAGTAGAATTTTGTCTTCCTTCACCATGACTAAGTCCCGTGAAAGCCATGAACCGGTGGCAGTTGAAGCAAATCAGCCTTAGGCTCCTTTTACAGTGAAACACATCTGATTCAATGTTCTCTAAGCTTCAAATCTTCTCCTTAGCAGCTCCAAGCATACTTCCACTCACTATGCCCAAAGAGTAAAACCCTTTTTCTAGTCTGACCATAAAATATTTTTGCCAAAAACAAAAATTTTATTTGAGCATTATGGACCTATGGTTTGTTTCCTCTGAGTCCCTGATGATATAATTGAATTTGGATGCTGAGACACATTTTCCGGTTTCATTGCTGGTTTATGTTCTTTGTTCCTCTCATATTCTCCCTGAATATCCAAACTAATTTCCTTCCATCTAAGTGAGTTCAGATCAGAAGGGGGAGACACTGACAGTATGTGGTGTCCCAAACATGCATCAAGATATTATATATTATATGTTATATTTTGCAAGGAGCAAACAGGGTTCTGTTTAGCTACTGAATATTTGTAGAATCTGCTTAAAAGCTTTAATCTGTGCCATGAAACCAGTGTTCAATATAAACTCTTTAGATTTTGCATAAAAAATGTTCATCAGAGACTCAGGATCACTAAGACTTTTTTTTTAACCACTATGTATCTATATTGTATAATCTTTGTGACAGTTTGTATTGCATAAAGATGTTTAATGTTTCAAGTTTCAATGCACCCCTGATGGATTCATTTAATTTCACTGAGACTGTGGAAATAACATAACACTGGATGACAGATGGAATCTCATCTAAATTTCAAAATAAAAGTAAAAACTCCTTGGAATGGCAAATAGATGTTTCATCCTTATTAACGTTCTCTGTTTAAGCTTTGATCTCCTGTTCATACTACTCAGGACAACACAGATGACTTAGTTCACCAGCAAAATGACTAAACTGTAATAAAATAAAATAGAAAATTACATTATTCACATTGTAACTGCCGTACTATGGCAAAAACGCATCTGTCTTTAGTTTTAGTTTTACTATATATTATACATATTATATACTATCTTCAGTGATTCAATCAAAATATTTGTGTTTGTTATTTTAAACAAAAATTTCAGAATAATTGATATATGTATATATGAATTTGAATGAATGTTGAATGTGGTTGTTTATATATCTAGTGAAGATTTTATATTGCAGTGGTTTTTTTATTCTTTGTATATCTATCTTTTATTATCTTTTATTATGGGGAATTTCCCATTGGGATAGTTAAAGTATTTCTTTCTTTCTTTCTTTCTTTCTTTCTATCTATCTATCTATCTATCTATCTATCTATCTATCTATTTTTATTTATATTACCTGGGCTTAATCCAGACTTTAGTTAGACTTGTAAGTTTTGCGACATATTTTATTTTCCTTAGTAAGCTTGAATTGAAGCAATAACTTCCTGATAAGAAATAATTATTTAACTTTATTTACAGTGATTTAATATACCCAGTATATAGCAACATAAATACTTCCTTTGTTTCACCTAAGCTTCACTATCCTCCATCTTTAAGTGGCACTTCAGGATATTTAACTTTTTCTATAAACCCTTTCAGAGCTTTGCTCCGCTCTCAGAAGATGGTTAAGCATAGCAGTGACAGACAAAGTCTGTCTTATTCAGCTCTTTCAATTATTGTAAGTCACAGGGCTTCACAGGGTCAGCAAAACGTGTGGATAGTGTAAATAGAGCTCAGCACAAGAAAAAGGCAAAGAGGATGCCTCCAGCTTAGAGAAGTATCTGCTTGATCAGGAGTGAAAGGAATTGATGCGTGGGTGGCTTCTCTCCACAGGCAATCATTACTTTTATGGATACTGGTTCTCTTTTTCTTTTCTGTGATCCTTTGAGGCCCCGCCCCACCATACTGCAGAGTTTTCCAAAACAGTTCCATCTAAGGGTGGAGTAACACTGCATAAAACATAAACAAGCAGATTTTGCATCTCTTATTAAAAATATTTCCTCAATTAAAAACATACACATGGTAATAAACCCCAAGAACCCCCCATTGCCTTTTTCAGTACAGTAACAGTTTTCAAATGTAAGTGGTTTATGTTTTAACCTTGCTTAAACCTATAAAAAAAAATATACATACAATATATTCTTCTTCTGTGTGCAGTTCAAATAAAAAGATACATATTTATCAAGTTTAGACTATGCCTTAAAGAGTGCATAATTCATTGTTAAAGAGTCAGTCGTGCATGCACAGACATCATTAGCATCCTGCTGCAATTTGCACCATCTAATATACATGAACACATGCTCCTTCCACCTAATCTGTCACCACCTCAATGACATTATCGCCTGATCAGTCTCATCTTGGTACATTTTTCAACCTGATTTCTTACTCTTGTTTTCTACATCTTCCTGTGCCTCTCACCCTTTGCTGTTGGTACACGTTGCTGAGTGTTACGTAAGCTCTACAGCAGCAGCAGCAGCAGAGAGGGAAGGAGGGAGAGAGGGAGGACACCCATGTAGGCATCAAACCACACCTAACAGAGACTGCAGTGCTCAGCAGAAAAGATACCGGCCCTGAACACACACAAAACTCCATACACTCAAACAAAACTAGGTGAACCAGGGCTGGACTAACATGTCTATATACTGGGAGATGTAAGAGGGTTAAATAAGTAAAGAAATGAGATGATTATCAGAATTATATATCTGCCATGGAGACAAAAAGAGGCAGGGCTATTATTATTTCTGCTTTGAATTGGAAGCCTATAGTTTTATCTTAAAGCATGTTTAACAAGGATTTTCTGGCTGCAGCATGAAGCAAAAACAAGTCAAAAACTGTGCTTTGTTAATCGAGTTATGATGACTGTTGTGGCCGATTAAGTACAATGAATTAATTAGAAAGTTTTAAAAAAAGTATTGAGATTACTTAAGATATGCCGCATGGTAGAATATTCTGCTGAAAACTGGCATCAGAAGAAAGGTTTGGTCATAAAGAGATCCACATAGTCATTAACAATAGTCAAGGAATCTGTTTACATCAACTCCTACGGCACCAAATGAATGTCAGAGCACAAATGAAGACTCATCAAGACATTCTTTTAGTCTATCATTGCCCAGCTTTAGTGAGCCTTTGTTATAGCAGTAGTATCCTGTTTTTAGCTCACAGGATCATGGTGTTCTTCTGCTGTTGTAGCTCATCTTAAAGTTTTCTGTGCATTAAGAAATGGCACTCTGCAAATCTGCAATACCTTTCCTATCCCTGACTAGCCTTTGTTGCTTTTACCATTAACTCATGTCATCGTGTGAGGAGGCGAAGGACTGAGGCAGTAAGCAGACATTGGGTGGCACATGATGGTGAAGGACTATTTAATGTAAAAAACAGCACCAACAGAAACACACAGTAACAACTAGGGTTGACGAAGTCAACAAGGCATATCAACAATGAAAAGGACCAGACAAGGGGCAACTGAAGGCAGCGGGCTTAATAAAACGTATAGACAACTTCAGGAAAACAGGATTACATTAGGACAGCAAGTGTCCAAAAAAAAAAGTCAACCCAAACAGGGTGGGAGGAGGGGGTATCATTAGGAGGGCAAAAAAAGAACCTAAACAAAACTAGTCCACAGTTTAGGTGATCAACCAGGAAGATCGCCCTTACAGGCACACAGTTCAGGCAGGTAGTGCAGAAGTCAGGAGGCAGATTAAGGCAATGAAGGAATCAACAGAAGATCTAGTAATGCCACAAAGGGGGTTTGAAAGATGGCAAGAGGAGACCATGAGGGAACTCAGTAGCCTGAAAACTACAAAAAAGCTCTACCATTGCCCAGGGACAACGAAGGAGCCTTGCAGAAGCACAAACGTCAGCAAGCAGCTGACTTTTGATCCTACAGCAAGCAGTTGAGTCTGTTTATATAAACTCATACTGAACCATCTGAATGTCACAGTACAAATCAAGACTAATCAACACATTTTTCTTCAGTCTGTCAATGTCCAGCTTTAATGAGCTTTAGTTGTAGCAAGCAGCCGACTATGATCCTACTCTACAGGCTCTTCTCAAGCCTGTAGAGTAGGATCATAGGGAACCTCAAGAGTACTGGGAAACTAGACATCAGGAATACTGGGAAACATAAGATTGGTGGCAATGGGTTCCTTGACAAGGCTCAGCTGCTGTCAGGAGATACATACTGTAGCGGGCATTGGGACCTGCAAGCGATAAAAAGCAGGCTCTGAAGGTGTCAGCTCTTGGCGTCCATTGAAGGAATTTCATTGAAATTCCTTCAATGGACACATCCATAGCCTGACTGCCCATGCACAGGGGCAGGCTATGGATGTGGCAACACTGTGCTAAATAAATACTTGGAACCATGCATGGTGCAAGCAGAAATCTTGGCAGTGTATATGCAATTTAAGCCAGCCTCTTCTCTTTGACAGTCTCCTGTCCTTAGGAGGGGCAGAAGAGCTGAAGCAATAGGAACCCATTTCAGGAGGTGGAATGGTGACAGCCGTCCTCACCTCCTCCAAACCTCAGCATAAGAACTTCTCACCCCTTAAACTAAAATATTCAAAAAGCCTCATTCTCTCTAGCACTGATACCTTGTCCATCCTTTGGTCTGATCCTAAGCAGACATCTGGAGTCAGATGATGGTGAATGAGAATAAATTGCAAAAATTGAACAATTGGAACAGGGAGGAATGATGAGGGTTTACATTTTTGAAGAGTTTCGATCAGATTTTTTAATTAATCATTGCTGATGATATTTTCATGGCCTAAGATGATGGACTTGTATCTGTACTTGTGCTGTTGGGTCCCAATCATGCATTATGCTGCATGATACAGTCAATCAGTTCTTTTAGAAAGGCCTGAAAGTTCAAACCTAATGGAACTGCATTAGGCTGGTTTAAAACATATTTGTCTAACAGATTTCAGTCAATCCATCCATTTTCTGTCACGCTTATCCCAAGCGGCGTCACAAGGGGTGCTGGTGCTATCTCCAGCTGTCTACGGGCAAGAGGTGTGGTACACCCTGGACAGGTCGCCAGTCCATCGCAGGGCAACACAGAGACAAATAGGACAAACAACCACTCACCTAAGGACAATTTAGAGAAACCAATTAACTTAACAGTCATACTTTTGGACTGTGGGAGGAAGCCAGAGTACCCGGAGAGAACCCACGTATGCTGACAGAGAACATGCAAACTCCATGCAGAGAAACCCGGGAATCGAACTTGAAATAAGCCTAGAGCTTATTTCTTGGTACTTCAGAAATAAGCTCCGGAGTTCTTTCTCAAGTACCAAAGGGATCATAGGGCCACTTCTTTTTACTATATATATATGGTTTAAATTGGTAGAATTAGCAGTGGATAAATTGTCACTGTTTTATAGATGATACTCAGCTATATTTGTCCATTCATGCTTATATACTAACCTGTAATAAATGTAACAAACCTTTCTTGAGGACACAAAAAAATGGATGATTTTAAACTTTCTACTTTTAAATTCAGATAAAACAGTAAATATTGTTATTTTATCAGAGTCTTTGAAGATGAAGCTGCTTAGTCATTCACTCTGTTGGAATGGCACAAAATTGGTCTCTGATAATAATTCATAACCTTGTTATTATTTTTTTCTGTGGACTTGTCATTTAAAACCACATAAACACGTTTCTAGGGTTTCATTTTTTTCATCTGAATTATGGCAAGCTTTAGAAATATCTGGTCCAAAACACATCCGCTAAAAGTCTGACGACAATTAAAAAGAATGATCATATGTTTCCTATTTTGGCTTTGCTTTGTTGGCTTCCTGTTGAATTCAAAAAACAATTTAAAAATTGTCCTCATGTATAAAACCTAATAATAGCCATGTTCGATCTCATCATCCTTATAATTATGTTCTTAATAGCACTTTACTCTCAATCTACAGGTTTACTAGTCATTCCAAGATTTTCCAAAGGTAAAATGGGAGGTTAAGTTTTCAGTTGTCAGGCTCCTCTCCCGTAACAAATTTTAATATCTGAGGTAGATACCCTATGTACTTTTAAGACTAAGCTTAAACTTTCATATTTAATTAAGCTTATAGTTACACTGCAAAACAATCCAGAAATAAGTAAAAAATGGCTTAAATTAAGTATATTTAGCCTTAATTTGAGCAGGTAAATAAGATGATTTGCCAATGGAATGAGTATTTTCACTCTTAAAATAAGATAGTTAGATAATATTTACTTGAAAGAAGACGATAAAATCGTTTTTTCTTATTTTAAAAGGAAATTGTCTTGTTCCATTGGCAAAGTGTCTTACTTATCTCCTCAAATCAAGGAAAAACACACTTATTTTAAGAAAAAATAACTTATTGAGATTTATATTTTTTGCAGTGTAGAGTGTATCAAGTTAAACTGAGCTATATCTATAGTTTTGCTGCTTTAGGCTTACTGGAGGACATAGGGACCACTTTTCAGCATGCTGCATTTGCATTCATTCTCAAACATTGATTTATTTTTTTGTTTTAACTTCTAAAATAATGTCCTCTAGGGCTTTTCTCGTCATAGTAGCTCCATCTGGACTGCCACTCTATTTGGCTGTGACACTACCTTGAAGGGAGGCATTCGCTTGCCTCCTGCCATTGACAATGTCTTGAATGAATGATACAGTTGGGTTTGTGCTTAGTGGTGCTTTTCTACTAGACTTTGCAATGTGCTTTTATTTTATTTTTTGACATTGAAAGGTTTTAACTGTCTCTTTCATGGACAGAGCCACCTATGGAGCTAGTTTACCCTTAGCTTCTCTACGTAAAAAGTATTTATAGATCAGCGCTTCTATGTTCCTTTTCTTTGATCTGCTTCTCTTTTTGCTCTTTGCAAGGGATTGCTGCAGAGTAAATGACAAAATGTCTAATGTGGCAAATTGCTCATCCAGGAGGAGGGAATCCTGCAAAGTCAATGACTGCAATGCAATCAGCTGAGTTTCTTTAAATAGAAAGCTCTTATCCTATCTGTCTGTATGATTTGATTAAGTTGTCTCTGTAAATTGCTTTAGATGGCGTTTGTTGAATTGAAGTTAAAATTGAAACATTTTCCCATTAAAAAGGGAGAACTAATTAATAACAAGAAGAAAAACAAACATCTCCCTTGGTGCTCTTCCTATACAACTTTAATGCATTTATGTCAGCTGTATGTTTGTTTGTCTATATGTAGTACATCATCACCAAAACAAATTCTGCATGTTTGTAAAACTCTACTTGGCAATGAAGTATTTCTGAATCTGAAGAAGGTATTTCATCTTGTTTGTTACTTAGTTTGTTGGCACTAAACTTAAAGATCTTGATTTTAAACCCAATAAAATCCTTACATTTACAGATAAACTGTAATGAAACTGAAAGATCTTAAAAGGTAAAAAAGGTTGTCTGTTGCTTTTATTTAAGAACTAAATTATTGACGTTCATCATGTTTTTATTCTAGTTCGTTTAATAATGCAGACACAACAAACTAAAAAAAAAAAATTAATTGATTAATTCAACATCTTGCTGGGAAACTGTCATTAAGTACGG